TACTCTTTCTCCGACGGCTCAACCTTTCTCACCCTTGCCTTCTCCGATCAACATCCAGCCGCGAAAGCTCAGTATTATTCTCATCCTTACCGAACTGGACTCAAACACCCCTGGAATCAGAAGTGAAACCCCGACGGAGTGACCGAAACAAAACCCAGGTGATTTCTTCCGATTCTCCTCTTCTGTTTAATCGATTCGATTCTTCTTTCCTTCCTCTCCTACTCCATTTCTGTGTTGTTGCAATCTTGTGCGATTCGGTGTGGTGTTTGTTATAGTATGAAGCTTTATGAAAGTAAGGTTGTTGACATTGTTTGTGGTTTGCAGATCCGTGTTGTTGTGGAATTCACGAAGATTCACAGATTATGATGAAGGTGATGTGCGATGATGCTGTGAGGTATTCAGAGAGTTTGTTATTCTGTTATTCTGTTGTGCATATGCTGTTGTTGATGTTCACAGGATTGGGATAGAGAAAGATGATGATGGGAGCAAAGAACTGGTTTCAAAGAGAAAGAGCTTGAGTTTTTGGTGTTCTTCCTCCAATGATTGGAGAACCGATGAAGATGATGCAGTTGCGGGGAGGCTGCTTATGAAGATAGTGATGGTAACCAATCACAAAAAGGTTGAAGATGTAGAAAAAATTATGGAGATCAAGAAGAGATAAGAGGTAGAGAGTATTTCTTTATAACTGATTTTCCTCTGATATCCCCCCTCTACATTTTGCTAAATCTGTTATATATCTTCTGTAGAGTTTGTTAGGAGTTTGTGAACTTTAGAATTCGGTTAGAAAAACAGTTTGGAGGTTAGGTTATATGGCAGTTAGGAATTAGTTATCAAAAAAAAAATTCTGTTATAAAAATGAGGAAGTTAGTTATTGGAATTGGTTAGATTCAGTTGGGTGAGTTGGTTAGAGGAAATTATGAATCTGTTAGGTGTTTAGGAGAATTCCGTTAGGATGCAGTTAGAAAATTCTGTTATGAGAAAGTTAGCTATTGGAATTGGTTAGGGAGGTTTGTTATGAATCTGTTGAACTGTTATGGAATTAGTTAGTAAATTGTTTTCTGTTAATAACTACCAGTGAAATCTTTGATAACAGTTAGTTATACTAGATGGGATGACCTTAGATTTGAATGAAATTGAAAGTTATTTACTTAATTATTTTGGTTTCTTTTTCTAAGCCAATTTTGTTAATTGATACAGGGCTGAACTGGTTGTTTTGTATTGGATTCATTTGCTTGGATTCAAGAACTTGTGGTGTAAACAATTAGCTTACTAACTGTATAACTGCATATATGTTTTCATGTTTTCCTGTGCAGGACTGTTTTGAGAGTTTGTTATGATTTTGGATTAAACTTTCAGCATGTCTTCAAATATTTTAATGGAATTCAGCGGAAAGATTTTAGCTTACAGCCTTCAAAAGCCAAAAGATTTTAACTCAAGTTGGACTGTCTATGTCCTCTTGAACCAAGATGAGGAGTTGCAAAGGTTATAAAGTTCAAAACCAGCAATTCGGGCTTCATAGTTCTGCTCAATGCAATTCTTTGTGCATTCTGTCTCCGCTTTGTAATTTGTAGATTCTTCCGGTAACAGCAGCTTCTAATGTTGAAGAGTATTCAAAAAGTCTTGCAATAGCATATCTTGCCACTAAGCCTCCCAAAGAATGTGCGACAAAGGAGATCTTCTGCAACCCTTTTCTAGTGCCGCTAGTTGCGAACAAGCTGCTAAAACATTGGTGAAAGTAATAGCATCTGGTTCAACAGATGATTATTTCATTTTGCTGAAGAGGTTAAGTGCTTCAAAAAGTTTCCCTTCAGTTATATATCTAGAAATCATAACATCCCAAGAAACTGGCGTTGTCTTCAGTATCAATTTAAAGATGTTTTCGGCTGACTCAACCTTTCCACATTTGAAGTATAGATCCATGAGTGAGCTGTTAATAAAATATCAGGTTGTATTTTATTGCATATTATATATCCATGAACAAACTTTCCCTCTAGTAGTTGTACTGAACGTGAATATGGTTTTACCTCAACAGAGTTGCATCATAATATTATTTATCTCAATAGTTGGTACAATCTTATTGAGTAGTCTGATGAGTAACGAACATAACTTTGTAACATCCCAGGTAAGAACAAGTTCATGAATATTAATATACTTCTCAAAGTAGTCAAAGTTGGTTTGACTCCTTCATTGTACATTCTCTTAAAAAGTTTGAACGCATGAAAAGCAATCGCCTTTAAAACCATATCCTGTAATCATGGAATTCCAAGTAACAACAAACTTTTTAGGCATTTGCTCAAAAACTTCTATAGTCATTTCTAAGTGACCGCATTTTCCATACATATCAACAAGGGCAGAGCTAACAAAAGAATCCAGCCAAAACCCACTATTAATCAACTCCTTATGAATTTCCCTCCCTCTCTCCAAATTAAAAAGCCTAACACAAGACGAAATAGCAGTTGTGATTGTAACTGAATCCGGCTCAAATCCATATCTTCTCATCATGCCAAAGTATCTCAGAGCTTCTTCAAATTTCCCGCTTTGATGATAACAAGAAATCACCGTATTCCAGCACGCCATATCCTTATCAGGCATTTCATCAAACAATTGTATAGCATACTCAAACGAATTGCATTTAGCATACATGCTCACAAGAGAACTTCTAACTACAATATCCACCATTAAATAAGTTTTTATCAAACAAGTATGTGCCATTTTATTATCCTCTAAGCACTTCACTTCATGACTCGGTGAACGAATTCCAACCAACTTGCATATTCAATGAACTAGTCCTAAACTCAAGACATGTCATAACATTCGATCGAATCAACAATATTCATGCATGAACTCGGTCCAGACAATAACCTCTCCATATTGCAATTGCCCAAAATCAAAGCCTTTATTCATGTTTGTCTAACTCAATTAGCACTCTCTCGCGTCATATCTTATATTGTGCTTCAATTTTTGTAATTCAAGTCGCAAACATGTGTACTTGAAAATGTAAGGCTAAAATCCTTAAGAAATTTCCTTGAAGATGATATTTCCCGTCGCACAATATAAGGCTCTCTGAGAAAGTCCCTTGATAAACAAACCCTAATCTCGTGATCTTTGACGAAAAACCCGATTGGACCCCAATTACCGAAAATCTGGCTTTAATCGCATATTGGAAAATAAACCATGATAGCCTCGTGTCTTGATGAAGAAAGAAATTCTCAACTACCCAGGTCACAACCCTAATTCCACTGCTCACTACCTGAATAAGAAATCAGTCTTTATTGGATACGAACGCCTTAACAATTGCGAAACCCTAATATCGCATAACCACTGAACCTTGAACCAAAGAGCTATATTGAATGAAATGTATGCCATGTTAGTGACCTAATGAAATAGATGCAGATGGATACAAAAGTCTAAGCCAAAATAAAAGAAATTAGGAGGGCAAATTTTGGGGTGCAACAGAAGTCAATCGTCGACCATGTCGATTGGTAAGCAACCTTCTATCAAATCTTCAAGAGCTGAATATTTGTCACAGTTTCCCGCTTTCTTTCATTCAAACATCGACTGCATAATTGATGTTGAGAACGACAAAAATTATGGTTACCGTTGCATTTCATCTTTATTAAGATGGGGCAAGAAGCATGTTATTCGGTTCGGAAGCAGTTGGATACTCAAGTCAATCAACATGCTGACTTGTTTTTCAAGTTGTTCTATGACATTGTCTCTGAGGTTAGGACTTCGTTACAAGTCAATCACTTGGAAGTGCAGGGTAAGGATAAATGGGTGTCGACTCCTGATATGGGTTACTCTATTGCTTCTACATATAGTGTTATATTTGTTTCTCTTTTCATGAGACTTAACATAACATTTTTCCCACTTCTCATAGCTCCACTCCCGTACACAAGTCGGCATACAATCATTACTGTTGGTTTTGTCGACGAAAATCATTGAATTCAGGTGAAGCTGAAATCTGATTGTCCACTCCCTCCTGTCACTAAGAAATGGATGGAGAATTGTTCTAATGACGCAAAGACATGAGAATCAGCATATGCAGGTCGCTTCGGGCATTGGAAAGAATTGTCTAGGCAAGAATTGTCTAGGCTGTGATTGTAGTTTTTTTTAATGTAACTATGTATGACAATTATTCTATTTATATATTTAGTCGATTCGCTATTTCACAATGTATTTTAATTAACTAATAGTTTAAAAAAAACAAAAAAAATTAAGTCTCAGTATTACCGGAAATCTGAAATTTCCGATATTTTTCACACACCAGAAATATCAAATTTCCAGTTTGTTTTATAATATAAAAAAAAATCGGAAAATTTGAAATTTCTGGTATTTTTCATACACCGAAAATTTCAAATTTCCAGTTTGTTTTTATAATGAGAAAAACACCGAAAATTTGAAATTTCCGATTATAACCAAATGAGATGATAAAAACTTGAAAATTTAACGAAATTTCTAGTATTTGCATGAAATTTCTAATACGGAACTTGAAATCTAAAAAATTTCAATATATTTCAAAGATATTTTCGTAACTACACCATATCTAAAGGTGACATATATAAAATGGGATGACATGTTAATTTCTTTAAAATTGACTATTATGCTTTGGCGGGTCAATGACAATGTAAGGAGTCCTTGCCATGCTTTAATTTCATAAGAAATTGTAGCGTCTCTGGCAAAGGTAAATTTCACACGAGAGATCTTTTAAGGATTTGGCACAAACAAATCAACTTTGACAAATTCATATATCACGCCATTTGAGTTGAGAAACATTATAAAGTTCAAACTTACAAATATCATCACTATCCAATTAATTGGTTAAAGATCACTTGATGCTGTTTGATTTTCAAATAGCCCTTCTATAAAACTAAACTAAATGAGAACTGAATACAATTCGTATAATTTTTGTTTCATTAATGCCTTAACTAATCACAAGCAAAGTAGCTCAAAGAGCAGTGTATGCAAAGAAAGGTTTTCCAAGACAAAACAACGGCCTTTCATTCCAATTTGTCGAATACTGACACCTTCAACAAAAAGTGGTCTTTCCATTGACTAACACCCGCAAAAGGCATAAGACCACAAAATAATGGTAGAAATACAAGCAAAGTTGCATAGAACCAAAATCGGCGAAACCAATATGGAAGAATTATATTCTGCTTTGTTTGTTGCGATGCAGCGACCGGTCCATGAAGGATCTTGAACAAAGTGGGAGTGAAAACAATTGATAAGAAGTGTACCATGCACAGAATCTCCCAATATAAGAGCCACAAAGAGCCACTCCCTCCCAAAGTATCTATACAAACTTTGCCAAAGTAGCCACAAGCAACTCCTAATAGCAAAAGAATGAAAGTAACTGGCATTGTCTCTGATACCGCTGTTGATCTCATGATTAGCAAATATGCAATTGCAAAAATCATTAAGACACCAAATGCCATTCGGCTCATAACTTGAACTTGACACCATAAAACATGTAACTTTGAATTGAAAGAGAACATTGATTTCGGAGTCCACCACGACTTGGATTCCTAAAATAGAAAAAATGCATCACTAACATTTTCCAATTAAGGCAGTGTTGGATCAATATGCAGCTGGAATTAATGTCATACTATCAAAATTGGGCCAGGCTATCAAATGTATTGTTAACCGTGATACATACATGACATAAAAATTAGAACAGAAAATCTAATCAGATTTCATTTAAATTATTCTTACCCTGCAATGTTACAGCAAAGGAACTCAAGACTCAAGACAAGTAGTACAGAAAAACAGAATAACTTGTCCTATAACTCCTAAACCAAATCATCATAGATATCCAAAGTTAAATATGACATTAGAAAGCACTAAAATAACAACATAATCAGCGGAAAAATATTATATACTTGCCTTATTTGAACGAGTGCACGATGCAGTGGATTCAGCGATCCGTTCATAGGAATAAACATAAGCACCATATGTAAGCGAGGAGGACATGGCAAGAAGACCAGCAATAAGACAGTCTATGCAGTTCTTAATCAGTTCACTATGTCTCAAATCTTCTAACTGATTCTTAAACTTTTCAACTCTAAAAGATGCCTTTGACATTCCCATGGTCAACTTTGATCTCTCTAGATGATTCAAATCAGAGTTGAGAACCAACTGCGTCTCTTTCAATTTCAGTTTTTTCATTGTAAGGGCAAGTTCTAATGCCTTAAGGTCATTTGCTCGACTTTCTTCCATAACAGATTTCTCAGCAGCACTAACCAATTGGTTTGGTTGCCTGTGCAAAGTAATGTCGTGATGAGTGATTGAATCCATTTGAAAGTTCTCCTCAACCTCTTCGCAGTTATTCGTTCGATCTTTGATTTCTTCACTCAACACTCTCTCTGTTTTATCATCATCAGCAATAACAGAATCACTTGAGCAATCACCTTTTTCACGAGTCAATCTACCAGTTGGAAATTCCATCTTCATAGTATTCAAACTATTTCCTTCGTCTCCTATAGATGATTCATAAATCGATCCGAGAGTACTTAACGTGCAAGCAAAAGATTGTCCAAAGTTCCTAGCCAGATCATCTAGCTTGTCTCCAAAAACCTATAATCGCATAGGCATTCAAAAAAACAAGTGAATCACCAACTGAATTTCGCTACACCCTACATGTTCACACTGAAAAAAATGCAGTAAAACTGAAATCAAGGGATGAATCAGCAATTGAAGTCTTGCTTACACTGGCAAGAGATTCTTTGATAGCTGAAGTGCAAATCTACATTGAAAAGGAACATATCCTCAATGAGTACATAAATCAGAATAAGATTTCAATATTTCATTATTAAAGATAGTATCTATCAAGCACAGACACGGACACCAAACACTGACAGACACCAGTAATAATTTGAATAAATTAAACGGAACCACAATTGTCAGTATTGTGTCGGTGATGTCTGACACTGAGACACATTTTTTGAGAGGTGTATGTGTGCTATAGAAGTTAGTACTAAAAAAGATGAGAAATAAAAGTAGCATACCAATGATATATGAGTTGGAGAAACACTATCGGTATAAAATGCTGCATTTGTCTTATACAAAACCTTCACAATAATCACATAGTACAAATTAAGCAATGCTTCAACAGCAATATAATTCGAAGAGGAAAATTGAAAAACGAGAAAAACAATCGAACCTCAGCGATAACAGCGGCAAATGCCATTCCGAGAGGGAATCCGATGGAAGCTAAATCGGTCCTTTTACGGCGAATGTGGACTCTACCGACTCTTCGTTTGCATGCAAACCGCTTGAGATTGGGTGATGTATGAGACGACGTCGTTTCGTGTGAGGATACCATAGGCTTGTTTTTGCGTCGTTTTGTGAGACGGTTGTTGGAAGAAGACGAAGTGGAGGGGACGTCCATTGAAAAACTCCCGCGAATGGTTTTTTCTTTCTTTCTTTTTTCGCACATTAGGGAACAAACAACTCATGCTAGATTTTGAAAAAAAAAAAAATTATGGAATTGATAAAAAAAAATTATAATTTTTTGGCAAAAATATACCAAAGATGTTTAAGTAATGCATTATCCTTAACCTCTTATTTTATTGTAGGTGATTTAAATTTTTTTTTTGTAACAATTTGATTTTTAGAGGGATTTCTATTTCATTTTTTCTATATTTTAAAAGACTAACGTGTAGTAAAATAAATTTAAAGGACCAACTTATTACAATAAAATAACTTTTAAACACAATTCAATATAATACGTATTTCAGCATTCAAATTAGATTAGATGAAACATATCATATAATATATTATATGTTGGAATATGTCTTAAAATCTTTGTTGGTGAAGAGAAAGAAAATATATTTCGAGATTTTTAAAAATCAAAAAGTCAAAAAATAATCTGATCAAAACGATTTATGGGTATCAGGTTCGGTCGGTTTGATTCATTGATCCATTAATTAATGTTAGAATATTTTATATTAATTTAGAGATCATATAAATTAATACAAAAAGATATTATAAGATATTTATATTATTCTAAAATATATTATAAGATATATTTTTTTGTAATTTTTATTATTATTATATATATATATATATATATATATATATATATATATATATATATATATATAGAATACTTTAAGAGATATTATAATATATTTATAATATTTGGGAGATATTATAAGATTATAATAATATATTTTATTCTTTAAGGAGATATGTTTTGGATTTACTGGATTTTAGCTATTATAAATATGTATCCCTTCTGTTATTATAGTGTGACAATCTTAGAGCTTACAACAATAAGGGAAATAAATGATTTAAAGGTATAGCGTGTGGGTTTGACTATTCTCAAGGAAAATCTTAGAAAAACAAGGGTTTTGGAAATCTTTGGGGTTATATAAGGTTATTGAGAATTGAGAAACACCTGTGTTACACCTTGGGTTTGAGTTATTCATATATTGAAGGAAGGTTGAAGATGTTGGGAAACACTTGGGTAGAAAATAAAGTAATTCTTGGACGCCTTCAGGGTTGGTCCTGGAAACCTGAAGACGAAGACTATTTTCTTGTAACTCATATGTAATCTCTTGTAACAACTTTCTGAGTATTGTGAATTGAAGAGCTGCTATCTCCCCCAAAGTAGATCGTTTGATCGAACTGGGTAAACAAATATTCGTCTTTTTCCCGTCTTATTCTTTTATATTATCTGTGTACGAGTTATTATTGTTGTAGACTATTTATTTTGATTGCTACTATTCTTTTGCCTCACAAATTGATATTGAATTTTATCGTAATTCACAATAAGATTCTCAACAAGTGGTGTACAGTGAGCGTGAAGCAAAAAGATATTGTTTACAAGTTAGCACCATGGGCAGATGGGAGATAGAGAAATTTTCCAGAAACAACGACTTCGGATTGTGAAAAATTAAGATGCTAGCAATTTTAATTCAAGAGAAGTGCATTGATGCTTTAAAGAGTAAAACATAGATGTCTTCAGGTCTTACACAGGTACAGAAGACCGAGATAGTGGATAAGGCAAGAAGTGCCATTATCTTGTGCCTCGGGGATAAAGTTTTAAGAGAAGTCGCCAGGGAGCAAACCGTAGTTGCTATGTGGGAAAAACTTGAATCATTGTATATGACAAAGTCTTTGGCTCACAGGTTGTATCTGAAACAACAACTATTTGTTCTGAATGGTAGAGCACAAATCTATAGTTTAGCAACTTATAGATTTTCACAAGATTATTGATAATCTTGAGAATATTGAAGTGAAGATTGAAGATGAGGACAAGGCTTTACTCCTATTAAGTTCATTACCTAGATCCTTTGAGCACTTTAAGGATGTCCTTCATTATGGTAAGGAAGGTACTATTACTTTGGATGAAGTCTAGACGACAGTGAAATCCAAAGAATTTTCAAAAGTGAAAGATTTGAAAATTGAAGATAGTGGTGAAGACTTAAATGTGTCAAGAGGAGGAGGTGAGCATAAAGGGATATCAAAATCAAAGAGGTCTGACAAGTCAAAGGTAAAATGTTTTAGTTGTCAGAAAATTGGTCACTTTATAAGGGATTATCCTAAGAGAAAGGTCAATGAAGATTATGTTCAAGTTGCAGTTGCCTTGGGTGAGGAAAGTTATGAGGATTCCAGTGCACTGGTAGCATCAAGTTTGGAAACTGAAGTTAGTTGGGTCATTGACTCAGATTGCTCTTATCACATGTGTCTAAGAATATAATACTTTGAAACTTTAAAGATGGTTCAAGATAGAGTTGTTCGCATTGGTAATAATAAGGTTTGCAAGGTTCATGGTATTTATATGGCCAGACTTAAAATGTTTGATGATCGTGAACTTCTTATTCACAATGTGAGGTGTGTTCCAGAAGTCAAGCAGAATTTATTGTCTATAAGTATGTTTGATGAAAGAAGTTGATGGTCTAGGCTATTGTACTAGAGTTGACATTGAATGTTGAAGATTTCACATGATAAATTGATTATTGTTAAAGGGTATAAAATATGTGGTTTATATATTTTAGAAGTTTTAAATGTTGTTATTCATTCATCGTTAACTAGTGGAGGATTTCATGACAAGGAAGAACTATGAGATTTGAGATTAAGGCGTTATGAATGCCTTGAGAAAGTTTCACAGGAGTATAATAAATTTTGCAAAAATCAAGGGATAAAAATGCATGTTACTGCTGAATTGTTATTGCGTTTTTGGGAAAGGGCCGAGGTTAAAACAACTTACTTGGTTAGTAGGGAATTTCTTCAGAGGGAGAATAGTGAAAATCAAGGGAGAAACCTGGGAGAAACTATAACGGAGAAAACTCAATTTGAGGTGGAGTTTCCTACTATAGATACTAATAATAGTGAGGGAACAATTACAGAGATCTCTGATTATCATTTGACTCATGATAAGGTAAAGAGGGTTATTGTAGTTAGAAACTTGTATTTTATATATTGTTGTTATATCAGAAGTACAAAAACATATGCATATATATACAAGTGAGTCTTGGAGACCAAGATCCAAAAATCATACTAACTATAATGTCTCATCACTAATATAGAAACTAATAATGCTAGGCTATTAATGATAATTAATTATAATTTGATACTGTCATGAAAGATCCACGACATAAGGGATTATGTCTTTAACTCCCCTCTTCAAACTGGTGGTGAGAGGATCACCCCAAGTTTGTCTCTAAGTTGACTGAATCGTGTATGGCTTAGGGGCTTAGTGAGACAGTCAACAATCTGATCAAATGTAGGAAAATAGGCAATAACAATCTCATTTTGTAACACTTGATCTCTGACATAGCGGACATCAATTTTAATATGTTTTGAGCGAGCATGCATGACTGGATTGGATGCTAATGCCTTAGCACTTAAATTGTCACACCAAGTATTGGTTTCCTTGGCAATGGAAGCTTGAGTTCAGCAAGTAGTGATCGAATCCATGCTACTTCAGAAGCCAAATCAGCCAGTGCTCTATATTAAGATTTTGTACTTGATCTTGATACTACCTTTTGTTTTCTTGAGGACCAAGAAACAAGAGTTTCACCAAGGAAAACGCATTGGCCTGCCATTGATTTTCTATTATCAATACTAGTGGCCCAATCAGCATTTGAAAACCCTGTTATTTCCAGATTAGTTGATTGCTTGATATGTAAGCAATAATTGATGGTTCCTTTGAGATACCTCAAAATCATTTTTATGCCTTGCCAGTGATTAATGGTAGGTGAACTCATGTATTGGATGAGTTTGTTGACGGAGAATTCTATGTCTGGTCTTGTGTGTGTCAAATATTGCAATCCTCCTATGGCTTGCCTAAATAGAGTTGGATTTTGTAACTTGTCCCCCTCAACTGTGAATTACTTCTCTGTTACCATAAGGGTTGACAAATATAAAGCATGTTCCATGTTGAATTTCTTCAACAAGTCACCTATGTATTTGGATTGCTTGGGGTACATGCCACTTGCATCTCCATGGGCCTCTATTCCCAGGAAGTAGTGGTTCACCCAAATTTTTTAATGAGAAAACAACATTAAGTTGTTTGATAAATGCATCAAGAAACACGGTGTTGTTGTCTGTAATTACGATGTCATCAACATAGATGAGGAGAACAATAATATGACCTTTACCTTTGAGTATGAAAAGAGAGGAATCAATTTTTTATTTTGAAATCCCAGCTAAGCAGCGCATTTTTGAGACTATCAAACCAAGCTCGTGGTGCCTGTTTCAATCCATAGATTGCCTTTGACAATTTGCATATGTGATTTAGTTTAGTTGAATCTACAAATCCCGTTGGTTGGTGCATGAATATTGTTTCTCTGAGAGAGCCATTGAGGAAGGCATTGTTGATGTCTAATTGTTTGATTTTCCAATTGGAATGAACTGCAATTGAGAGGATGATCCTGACGGTGCTTGCTTTGACCACATGATGTCTCTTCATAGTCTAGTCCTGGTGTTTATTGGAAACCTTTGGCAACTAGACGTACTTTCCTTCTTTCTATAGATCCATTTGCTTTGTACTTGGTCTTAAAAACCCATTTGCAATCAATTATATTTTCTTGGTTTTGGTTAGGCACTAGTGTCCAAGTATTGTTGGACATTAGAGCTTGAAATTCATTTTGAATTGCTTCTTTCCATTGGGGTCTTGTGAGATATTCTTTGGCATTGGTAGGTTCCATGTCATCAATACAAGTCTCAGTAAGTCCAATGTATGGTAATTTTGGCTTGTGAATTCCTGATTTACTTTCGGTACGCATACGTGTGTCTGAGTCAGTGTTAGGGCTTGCTTCTGCGATGATTTGTTGAGTGATGTTTGGTGCTTCAAAGTGATCCATGGCCTCATGAACTGATTTGTTTACTGATGAACTATTGTTTCCATGATCTAAATCAATGTGATTGTCTTGAACATCT